CAAAAAACAAACACAAATTGAAAATATCAATGATATTAATCAAGTTGAATACTTACCATCAGTTGATACTACTGGAATGATTGAAAAAGTTCGAGCTACAATTTATCTTTCATTAGATGAATTATGGTCTGTTCCAACCGATAATGCCTTAATTGCCACATTTCTTGATCCACGGTTTAAACATTTTAATTGGACAACTAATGGTGAACGTGATAAGACACAACAATTGGTAAAAGCTTTATACGATACATTGAAAGAAAAGCTTCGTATTCCAGATGATATAGAATTAACAGATGATAGGAATTAAGATAATGATGATGATAATTTTTTTCGTGATCTTGAAGGTGATTGTATGCAAATAAATATAGAAGATAATGATGAAATATTATATTATATAAAACTAAGTAATATCAGAGTTAAAGATGATCCTCTAATTTGGTGGGTAAATCATAGAGATAGTCTTCCCATTTTAACACAAATTGCAAGAAAATATCTTTCAATTCCAGCAACTTCAGTTCCAAGCGAACGATTATTTTCTAATGCTGGAATCATATTTCTGCAAAAAGAATCCATTTGTCACCTGATTTAGTAGATAAGGTTTTGTTTTTAAAACGTAATAATACTCATTTTGAAATGTTTCCTCCTCAAGAAAATTAAATAATTAATGAAATAATGTCAAATATAATAAACAATTGAATTTTAATAGTTTAATTGTTTTAATAAATAATATTGAACACAAGTATTTTATGAAACGATAATCAGAATCTAGTTATCGGTTTTATTAATACAGTAATTGGTTTAACCGGATATCGTTTTTATCGATTAAAACCGATTTGAATCGGTTTTAATTTTTATGACATAAATAAAACCGGTTTTAATTTTCAAAACCGGTTCCGACCTCTACTTGGAGGTGCCCAGAGCAAAGATGGGGGACCATTATGAGTCTTGCATTTAACTTTACTTATAGCTTAGAGAGATGTATATCTTTCTTTCAAATTGTAAATCTTCACTGAAGTCAAAAATTACAATAAAATTGCCGATCAATAATTGTCTTTTGCTCTTTAAAAAAAAAAATAATAATTATTAAAAAAAATT